TGCTCCGCGTGGACCCCGCCAACTTCCCAGTGAGGCAGCCCGGGCCGCGAGGGGGTTCGCGTGAAGCTGAGGATTGGGGGGGTTCCTGAAGGAACTGGGGGGACACCCTTTCACCCGCCCCCCTTCTCCCGCAGCTGCTGATCCAGTGTTTCCAGGTGGTGCTGGCCTCCCACCTACAGGACGAGTTCACGGTGGAGATGCAGGCGGCCTGGGATAAGTTCTTGACGGGCGTGGCCATCGTGCTGACGGAGCAGTACCGCTGAGCCCTGGGTCCCGCTTGTCAATAAACAGGCCTCAAAAGGCGGGACCGTGCGCACGCGTAGTCTTTGGGTCTTTGGGCCGACGTTTGGTGCTGGGCCGAGCGGCTCGGGTCCGCGGGGAGCCTCTGGAGCCTTAGGGAACTCCCCGAAGCTTTGCCGACCAGGGAACGCCCCGGGAGCGACCCTGGGAGCTCTCCAGACTTGGAATGAGGGCGGTTCCGGGCTGGCAATCCCCGGTCTGAACAGGATATTCATTCGAAGGTGTGAACAAAAGAGTTGCCCTCCAGTGGCTGGGGTTGGGGGGCAGAGTGGGTGCCGGAATCGGGGGGCCCTCTAAGGATTCAGCGCGCATACGACACCGGAGCCAAATCACACGGTTCGCAAAGCACATCGCATTCACTCATCCATTTATTCCCCCTGCACCCCCACTTCGACTGGGAGCTGCCAGCATGAATCTCAGCCTCCTTTGCAGAAAGTTGTAGGCACCAGACGCAGGGACCAAGTTCCTGGTCTGAGGTCAAACAGAATGCGGGGCCCAGGGCTCCTTGGACCCTCCTCTCTGTTCCTTTCCCCTTCCTTCCACATTCCCCCCACCCACCACCTCGGGCCGTCTGCAGCAGCCCTCGCCCTGGGCCAGGCTAGCCCCTTTCTCTGAATGCCCTGGGTTAGGGATGGGAGTTCGGAGGAACTCCTACCCGCCACAACCTGGCAGACAGAGCAGATTTCCAACCAGGTCGCACCAGCAGGCTGTGATCTCAGCCTAATGCACCTGGAGGTGGAGGGTGGGTTGCGGGGGGCACAACCTTGCTTGACTTTGCAATAATATTTGAGAACATAATACAGGGTCAGTGTCTGGCAGGACTATGGCAGCCCGACCTCCACCCCACATCCCAGCCCCAGCATCTCAGCCTCTAAGGGTTTTCTGGACAAGGCCACCTCCCAACCGCTCACCCCAATCCCTATTTCTGCTGATGGGGGCAGAAACCTTAGCTTTCCACCATAACCTTGGCGGACAAGAAACAGGAAGCGGGGAGCGGACTCTGGTGCTCTGCAGACTCTGAATGAGGACTGGCCGGATCTGTACTGAGGGTGGGGATGGGACGGGACCCCCAGGAGAGAGGTGGGCGCCCAAGTCTGAGAGGGATGCTGGACACTAGGCCTGACAATGGCTCAGCTGAGTTCCCCTGCTGACCGGGAGGCCTGCCCACCACGGGAGCAGGAGGGTGTGGAGGATTCACCCTATAGTATCCGTTATTGTTGGGGTGGGGAACCTCCAGCCCAGGGGCCGTATAAGGCCCTCGAAATCATTTGGTCTGGCCCTGCCAAGGCATCAGGGGTGAGTTTGTTAAATGCTTGACCAAATATACCAGGCTATTTTTTTAATATATATTTGTTGACTTTAGAGATGAAGGGAGAGGGAGAGATAGACACATGAGTGATGAAAATCACTGATCCTCTGCCTCCTGCACATCCCCCACTGGGGATCCAGCCTGCAACTCAGGCATGTGCCCTTGACTGGAATCAAACTTGGGACCCTTCAGTCCGAAGGCCAACACTGTATCCACTGAGCCAAACAAGCAAGGGCCAGACTAATTTTAATGTGATAATTTTGGGTGGCCCGCCATTGATGTTATAAATACCCAGATGGCACTTGGCAGAAAATAGGTTCCCCACCCCAAGCAAAATCTGGTCCGAAGGCAGCAGGTCTCAATTCAGAAAAATTGGGGTCCCCTCCCGGACAGGCAGGCAGACACCTGGAGGCCCACCCGGCCCGGCCACACGCGGGTGCACGGGGATCGGGCGGCTCCGGAACCCGTGTGGGAACCGGAGCTCTGGCGCGGCGGTAGAGGGACCCTGGAGAGCTCCAGCT